CCATACTTTCACTGATATTGCTTAAACTAGAAATGTCAGGAATGAGTCAATTGAAAGAAAAATGTCACGTGAATCGCATTAAGTAAAGAATCTGATGGAAATTAAGAAGGTTGTGTTTGAGTGATTGAAATATGGGAAACACTTTTGGTCATGGGCAGAGATGTCATCTTAAATTTTGACCTTATTCATTTGCACACGTGGCCCTAATTTGCCCCAAGGACTAAGCGCGTGTGCTTGTGCGTGCACGTGCTCGTGTGTGTGTGTGTGTGTGTGTGTGTGTGTGTGTGTGTGTGTCTGCAGGCTTTGGTTTCTCCTGCATCTGCTCCAGTCACAATCACCTTGGACCAGGCCAGGTAAAGAGGCAAGAGGGCTCCTGGGTGGTAACGAGAGGCTAGCTCTCATCTTCACAGCTTCTGGATTTTATTTCATCTCACTCTAGGGCTTTTGAAAAGCTTGACAACAGCCCTCGGTTGTGTATATAAGCAAGTGTTTACCATTGTGTGGTCAAGATTTTTAGCCACTTGAAGTCTGGCGTTAAATGAAGCATATACAACCTAATTCCACACGGGGTATTCCCGGAGCTGGCATAGTTATGTGATATTAATTACTATGAATTTTAGCAGTGCTTTTCCCTCCTTGAATTTTGAGCCCTTCTTTTCCACGTTTGGCTCTGTTCAGTGGCCGGCTACAGGTGCGGACATCTTCCACAGCCAGTCCCATGTTTCTGTCCCCGGCACCCCTGCAGGTGAGTTGGCTGCGTAGACGCTCGGTGGGCCTGTTTCTGTGGCTCCGAAATGTGGCCATTGTGTTGACTTTAACTCTCAAGTTCTGCGATTTCGGTGTCCCCCACCCCCAACCGAAGTACTGCTTTATTAATGTAAGGTTGCCCCCCAGTGTTCAAAAAGGTCATCTGCACGGGGAAAAGGTTTCCTTCTAGAACTTCACAAAGTCTGGCATAAATGCGTTGCCTTTGTCCATAAGCCCCTCCCTATGTGTGTGAATCACCTCATAGTCTTAATAAAATACAGATGTGTATTGAGTCGGTTGGGGGTGTGGCCTGCGAGTCTGCGTTTCTCACATGCTCCCAAAGTGACTCCAGTGCTGGGATTGGGGACCACACTCCAAGCAACAGGGCTTAGAGCGGTTTTCCCTGCATCTCATCAGTTAATAACCACAGCACAAGCCACGGACAATCTCCACAAAGGCTGAATGAATGAGAGGCATCCTTCCCATCTCCCTGCGTGTTCTGGCCCCTGCTTGCCTTCCAGCCTCTTCTAATCTCATTCTCCCCTTCACTCATTCCTCTCTGTCTTCACTGGAATATTTACTTTCCCAAATACACCAAACTCTCACCGACCACAGTGCCTTTGCACACGCTATCTGTCTGTGCCTGGAGCGCTCCCACCTCTATTTTTCCCTTGGCTGCTTCGTTTTCATCCTTCAGTGAGGACGTGAAGTGAGTTCCTCTCTGCTCCTCTCTCCGGGACTCTGTGTTGTGGTGCAGTAGCTGTCTTCGTGTGCCGTCTCTTCCTCTGTCACTTATGTACAGTCTGTTCCCTCCTCTAGACCAGAGCTACATGAGAGCCCACGCTGCCTTACGCACCGTGGAGTCCTCAGTGCTCTTGCCTCCCAGCAGATGCTCAGGAAGTATTTGCTGGGCGCATGTAGGCAGGGAGCAAAGGGGGCATTCTTCAGTGTCCTGTTACATCTGGGAGCCACCTGTCTGGAGGGGCTATGGTGGGCACGATACATAGAAGAGTCATAGGATGAGCAGTCAGGAAAAGAGATACTTTTCAGCCACACCTCATCTTCAGAGATGCCAAACGTGAAAGAAGTGTTTATTTTAGGACAGAAATAGGGGATACAGCAGGAATGCAGTGAGTCTAACATTTCTTAAACAGAGTTATGTCAAATGAGCTCACTGGATCACACAAAGGTACTGCGGGGCTTGGGGGACTTTTGCCAATGTGCCTTGCGAGTCTCTAAGGTGAGGGACAGGGCCTGTGGCAGGGACACTGTGATTCGCTTATCTAGAGGCCCTTCCTCGTCTCCTCCATCTCCTTTCTCAGCACAGTGCCTGAGTCTCACTACCACCCACTATCGAGTCTCAAAATGCCCAATATACGACTTCCCAGCATTCCGTGCAGCGAGGCCGTGGACCTGTTCCCTCGTCCGCCAGTGGGACTTTAGGTCTCCTGAGGGCTTCTGGGATAGTTTTCTGATCAAAAGAGACACATAAAGAAACATTTCTTTCCTGTTTTTTTTTTTCTTTCTTAAAGTGGTCGTGTGAAGACCCGATGCCTGGAGCCACGGCAGCCTTTTGTAAACACGAGGTGGGTCACCTCTGGGGACAAAAGCCACCGTACTGAGGATGGTGGAGTGGAGAGATGAAACGAACCTGGGCCCCTGATGGCACCATCGAACTGCTGGATGGATTTCCTGCCACGCAGGACAGTATGTGCTCTCATCGTCTGAGTCACTTTAAGAAGGCGCGCTTCACTCATGGCAAAAATCGCCCTGACTTCTCAGAGCGGCTAAGCTGGTCTAAGTCCCCAAAAGCTGGAATTGGTTCCTGGCTCCACCATGGTTAAGTATGTGTCCTCTTGAAAGCTGTCTCCTCATGGAAATAATTATTCTTATTTTCTCCCCCTCGGGCTGTTACGGAGGCTGACTGACATGACATGAGGCATAGAAAGTCTAAGGCATAGACACTGGCACCCTGTCAGCACATAAGAACAAACTGTTGTAATTACAGTTATTTTTTGGATCATGAGAGTGTATTTGTTGGAACACTCTGTACCATCTTCCAGGACCCCACGCTCTGCAGGAACCAAGCTGGGTGACGCTTACCTTGTCAAATTTTAATTACAGAAGGGGAAACTGAGGCCGAGAGAGAGCTGCTCTCTAGGCTCTTTTATTTTGGAAAATGTGGCCCATTCAGCTTCTTCCCATATCACACATTTCCACTCACACTAGAAACAACAGAAGGACACGGGTCTGGGTTGAAATTATGTGCTTTTATGGGAAACAAAAAAAAAAACAACCCAACAACAATAACAAAAGTCCTTCGATCTCGCCAAGTTCTCAACCAGTGATAATGAGAGGCAGTTTCAATGCTTGTGTCTGGCTGGGGACATTTCTAATGGGGCAGGACAGTTGAAAGACACTGGCCAAAAAGAGAATTGCAGAGAGGGTTGATGTTTTAAATAAGAGTCCATTAGACCTCCTGGCGGCCCCTCATCCCATCGCCCTTTCAAGTTAGAGTGTCTTCTCCATTTACAAAGATCCTTCCTGAACTTTGCTCAAATGCAATCTCTTCCAGAAAGCGTTCCTTGGTCTCCACCAACTGCATCCACCTTTTCAGGAGTGCTACAAACATACTCTCATGCCACCTCCCATCACTTTCCGCCTTACACCCATCACGTTTGAGTCCATGCCTGATGACACTCATTGTTGGTAGGCACGCCTGCCCCCCTCCCAGCTCAGATCCCATGTTGCTCATCTTGGTGTTCCCATCTCCCTTCCCTTATTCAGTGCTCTGTATACAGCAGGTGCTCAGCATCAGCAGGTGCTCAGTGAGGGTTTGTTGGGCTGAAGTCAGTTCTATATTTGCCACGTCACATCACCAGCCTCTTGACAGTCATAATGGTTATTCCCACTTCGTCTTTCCTCCGTGACCTCAGAGGGATCCAAATCAAGGCATCTCCGAGAAGGAAGAGACCCACCAGACATCACCAACTTGGGGTCAAAGGTTTGGGGAAGGGAGGAGAGGAGAGAAGCTAGCGCTAAGCTCTTATCCCTGTTCGGGAAGGCAAGGGGGCAGGAAAGGCAGCCAATGGGGGAAATTCAGGTGATTGTGAGGAATGTTGGCCATTGCTTCATTTTGGAATTCCATGAGCAGCCATTCTTCCAAAGGTTTCCCCAATGAAACATGGCCAGCCCTGTAGTGGGATCCGATGACTGGTGGGGGGCTGGTTTGGTTGCCCTTTTAGCCCAGGGACCAGCAGGGGTAGACCAGGAAGCTCTCTCTGGGATGTGGCCTGTCTGATGTTTAGAGGGGTGTTAGAGGTTGTCTGTCTACTTGTACTGTTGGAGCGACGATGGGAACATTAGCCCTGTGGTGTGGAATTGTCAGGCACATCGATTGTAGTAAGGCTGAAGAATACAGGCTGCAGTAATGGGCCTCTCTTCCAAAGGGGGGAAGGGTCAGGGGGTGCAGGGAACAGCAGGGGTGAGAGGAGGGTCCCAAGAGGTACTGCAGCTCCAATTCTAACAGGTGCCCTGTTCTGGCTCCTGCTGCCAGCTCCCACGTCTTCCCTCGTCTCCACGTCAGGGCCAGGCAAAGGGGCCAGCCGGAAGTGGCGGAGGGAAGGGAAGTGCCTTTTCTTTTCCTACCATGAGACTTGGACAAGGGAGAGGTTAGGATCAAGGACAGAAGGAGGAGGACTGAGGAGCTGCAGAGAGGCCACAGCCCTATTCACTCCTGGCTGCTGCTGCATCGAGTAGATCTGAGGCCCGCACTGCCGCGTGCATCACCCCCGGAGAGCACCGGAGTCCTAGCTGGGGGAGATGGAGAAAATTCTGCACAGGCTCTCCAAGGCGCTCAGTGACTTAGGGAGATCGCTGTGGCTCCTCCCATGGGAGGGCCCCTCTGGGGCCAATAAGGTGTGAAAACTCCATGGTCAGCATCCGCCCCGGAGATGGGCAGGAGCCGGGAAGCAGAGAGAAGAGAGACTTCTTCAGGCACCTCCTTTAAGAAAGAGAGCTGGACCTTGGAGGACTCAGGTTAGGACAGATGTTTCAGTATAAAAAGGATCCCCAGCAAAAGGATGGGAGTCCCTCACATCCCTTCCCAAACCCCACAGCACTTAGAAAAGAGAAAGTAAGGAGCCTAAAAATACCTCGATGACGTGGGCTTGCCTGACAGTACAGAAAAGCAAGTCTCATGGCAGGCAGTGTCTCCCATTACACAAGAGAGGATTATACCGAGCTTCAGTATAGAGATTTTACATATATCTTTATATAAATGCATATATATTTATAGAGCCTCTGCCTAGAACAGCCGGGCTTGCTTCTTCAGTTCATTCCTCTTCCAGAGGGCCAGCCGGTCAAACTCAGAGATGGTCATGCCGAAGACCTGGTAGAACTCCTCCTGGGACAGGTGGCGCTGAAATAAGGTGGGAGGGGACAGAGAGTGAATGCTTGAGGACGCGAGGTGGTGGCTAGGGGCAGGGGCAGGCAGCAGCAGACCCTGCGTGTATCCCCCGGGTGTGCTGTGCTTGGCACGGTGTCTGACCACAGGGGTGTGGCATGAGTAACTGTCAAATGGCAGACTGTGTGAGTGAACTTTCGGGGAGAGGCCTCTGTAGCTGGTCTGGAGAGACCTCCCCTGTCCAAGACTCAGTGGGAATTCTGCTTCACCTAAGTGACTCTCCGTGCGTGCTGGCTGACCCCGCCTGTCTGCATCCTGCTTCCTGCTTTCTGTGCCCCAGCGTGTGTATGGATGAATGCTATTCCTCCTTCCTTTGGGAGCAAAAGGCGGCATGTCCAAGATTTTAGGGTGTACTTCTTCTTACTAATATTTTTACAGATGATCTGGAAGGCTGTTCCTCAGGTCAATGAAAAAACGGCTCTTCCTATTTCTCCACCGACTGAATTGTCTTTTCACGTCTGTCTTACATGAAAAGAAATATGCCACATAATGAAACATTGTTCTGCATTCCTTGGCCGGCTTCCCCCCGCCTTTCTGCCTACCCTTCCTCTTGCCCTTCCAAGCAGCCTTGAAAGTCGATACATTGTCAAAAGCTTTCAGAGTTAGGAATACAGGGCACCTGAAATGTGGCGACATGTTAACAATTCATGCATTTAGGTAAAGGGTAGAAGGATGTTCATTTTACTCTTCTTGCAACCTTTCTGGAGGCCTGAACTGTTTCAACGTAAAACGTAAAATTATGTTTGAAGAGAGAAATATATGGCATATATCCTGCCTGAAAACTTGCTGGAATCGCTCAGATGCCCAATTGGTCACAATGATGTTAGCTAACTGAATATTGAAGGAGATTCGTTGAGAATTCTGTATACAGATATTTCGGCCACATTTCCAGATTTTGAAGCGAAGGTAACTTTGGTACTTCTGATAGATATCATCGGTTGCTGGTGACTCTGAGCTGATGTTTCAATATGTAACGGTATTTAACAACACCAGCAATTACTTGCATTGCGTTTCTGTTATGCTCAATAGTCCGCAACTGCACGATCACCCCCATTTTTCTCACTTAATCCTTCCAACAAGTCTGAAAAACAATACATATTTCTATCCAGTTGAAAGATGAGAAAACCAAAAGTCAAACAGTTAAAATGACTAACTTGGCTAAGAGGGAGGGAGGCAGGTGGGGTACGCAGCAGAGTGGAGAGCGAAGGCTAGCCTTTCTGATTCCAAACACAGTGAATTTTGGTTGCCCCCCTGGGCAATTCCATTAAATATTCATAAGTAATCCTGAGTATTTATGAAAAATTTCAAAAATACTCATAAGGGAGAAAATCACACAATGTCTACATCCATGCCCATGACACAGATTCAACAGTTATCAAGAGTTTGTCACGTTTGCTTCGTCTATTTTGTTATTGCTGTTGTGGCTGAAGTACACCTTAGACATTTTGTCAGCCCAGCCCATTCCTATATACTGCAGTGGGCATCTCTCCTAGAGATTTCAAAACATCGCGACGCCTACTGGATATTTTCTTTCCTAAAAACCAGTTGACAGTAATTCCTCACAATTACCCAAAGCCTGTCCATAATAAAATGCTCCTGATTGTCTCAAACCTAAGTCTTGTTACAGTTTGTCTGTTTGCACAAGGATGCCAACAGCATCCACAAATCACATGTGGCTGTTAGGTCCCTTCAGTCTCTGGGGGGCCAGACAGAACTTTCTTTTGTCTATGCTATTGACTTGGCTCTATTTGTCCTGCTCACACGCGAGTCAGTGCTGAGAAATCGTGGACGTGAGGGGTTCCTCTTCTCAACTCCTTCTACTGTAAAGACTAAGGGGAGCTGTAATTTAATCTCATGTTTTTGTTGTTGCTGTTGTTCTTGTTGGAGGATGATGGCTATGGTTGATTCTCTAGCTCATCTCTGCTGTGCCCCCAAATCTTTTTTATGAGTTTCCATGTGAAGGAATGGCAGTCTCAACTCGAGTACAGTGTCCACTGTAGAACACGCTAGAGGAGACTGAGGCTCTCCCGCTCACCCTCCATGAAAGGCCGGCTGCCACCCCCTTTCTTATTTTGCCAGTTCTCAGAGCACCTAATGCCAGCCCTGTCCCTCCACACAGGAATGACTGTGTGACCTTGGACAAGCTACAGCACCCCACTGAGCCTTCTTTTCTCCTCTAGAAAGTGGGAGCATCCTAGTGCCTACCTCCTGGATACACTGAGGGGAATGAGACAGCACAGGTCATGGACAGTGGCCCGCACATGGGAAGCACTCGACTGCTGGTCACCCTCCCTCCTGCAACCATCTCTTCTTGTGTCTGTCACATAGTGGGGGGAGGAGGGGTCTGGTGCTCAATTCATTTGATTTCATTTCCACCGCATCCTCTTCCCTGTGCTCATGTGACCCAGCCACACTCACCACCTGCTGTCCTCACCTGTGTTAGGGCCTCGGCAGTGGCTGTTCCCTTTGCAAAGATGCTCTTCCTCTTGTATATGTGTGGCTAACTAAGTGCTTCACCTATTTCAGATGTCACGTTTGCAGTGAGATTACCCTGACCACCCTATTGAACACTGCAACTTACCTCCCCCTCTAAGCCCCAGTTCTCTGCTCTCCTTTTACTTCTTCCCTCAGCCCTATCAGTTCCCCGTGTTCCAGATAATTTATTTACTATTTGTGTCATTTAGTGTCTGTCTCCTCATGTTGAGAATGCCAGCTCCACGGGGGCTGCGGTCCCTGTTTTGTTCACTGATAACCTGCGAGCATCGAGAACGGGACCTGGTCTACATGACAGACTTTCAATAAATAATTTTTGGGTGAATGACACTCTACACTCTGAGCTCCTTGAAGAGCTCTTCAGTCCCCTCCTTGAGCTGGTGGAGGGGATTCGGGCAGTGTGTGTAGCCCTGTGGTCTCCCCTCTGGCTCCGTGTTAGTTAGACATCCCTGGAAGCCTGAGCTCCTTCCCCAGATTGTGATTTAATCGGTCTAGGCTGGGTGTGGTATCGTTGTTTTTAAGGAGCTCCTCGGGTGGTTCTGATTCTTAGGGCAGGCTGCGCCTCCTTGGTCAGAGCTTCTGGGTATCTCGGAGGATGTGAGAGGGCAATTGGTCCTCCGGAATGAACCAGGTTCCCGAAACCTCATTCCTATCCCTTAACGCTGCTCTCCCGAGCTGCTGTGGGAGCTGTCCCCTTCAGCACCGGCAGCCACTGGCCGCTAAAGTCAAGGAGGCCCTTGTAAACATGGGGATAATCACATTGCTGGGCTGCTAGCCCAGCACGCTGGAGTTGGAAGGACTCACAAAACCTCCTGGCCTACTCACACATCCCTCCCTCTGTCCCAGCCTTTTATTCTGGGCAAATCCTCAGCAGTCAGTTGAAGGGTGGTAGATCTGCTCATCCCAAGGGTTGCTGAGCCTCCTTTCTTAGAAGCCTGCATTCAATTCCACAAACATTTTCCAGTACTTCCCCTAGCCCAGGCCCCGTGGTGGAGGACTGACTGCCTCTCTCAGGCAGAGGGAACAGATAGCTTGGAGTTCTGATACAACGGAGGTGGAGAGGTGCTTGATCTGCACTCTGGACACAGGGCTGGGGAAGGCTGGAGGAGGGGGGAGGGACACATCCTGGGGAGGTCGGGGGGTGGCTCTGGGACACAGTCATCACGACAGGAGGGCCCTGAGGAGGGAGAAGGCTGGCAAGATGGGAAGGGCATTCTGGGAGAGCGAGAGACAGGGAGAGGCACAGTGGAAAAGGGCCGAGTGTGCTCCTGGACCGGGGGCCCAGGGACTGGAACTCCAGGCCAAGGGCAGCAGACTGCTGAAAAGCCCGATGCCACATTCAGGCCTGGCTCTGTGCTTTATTTATGCCGTCCCACTGTTCATGATGCTCCCCCCTCTCTCTCCACACATCAAACCTTCAAAGTCCATCTGCCCAGGTCACTGCCAGACTGTGCCACAGGCTCTGTATATGGCATCTCACTTACTTCAGCTGGCCCCTTAAGGATGCCCCACAATCGCCCCACTCCACAGAGGAGAAAACTGAGGTTTGGAGAGGCTGTCACTTGGCCAAGCTGTCTTGCCCAGGGATGGCGGGGCCAGGGTTGGACCCGGAGTCTGACGCTCTTACCTTCTACACAGGACTGACTCTCCCACTCTCTGCACCGGGAGCACCAGTTTTCTGTACCATTGTGCAGAAAACCAGGGCTGTGTTTCTCCTTAGCAACCAGTTGGCAGGGCCCTGAGAGCAGGGACCAAATCTAGCTCTTGTCTTAAGTCTACAGAAGCTTTGGGGGAGACGTGCTGAAGTTCTGCACCACAGATGCTCACCGGATTGGGAAGGCGGCACAGAGCGTTTCGACCTGGGCTCAAGGAACCAGGCTGGCGTCTCCACCTTTTCAACAAGCTGTGTGACCTTAAAGCTTCCGCCTGCCCCCCCCCCCCCCCCGAGCTGGGTTTTAATGAGGCAATTTCTGGACTCCCTTTAAACCCAAAGGCTCCTGCTGAGTTTTCTACACTTACCTCTAAACGCGTCCGGTCCACATCCTTGGGCAGTCGATTTCTTCCTCTTGTGGTCACGAGCAGCAGTTCATACGGGTAGATCTAAGGAGAAAGGACCGGGTGAGGGTGGGTTTCTAGGTCGGGTGAAGGTGGTAGACTTGTCCCTTCAACTGCATCTTGTGTCTGGGCTCCCTTCTCTCCCCCGGAAAGGGCCAGGGATTAAAGTCTGGAGGAAGGCCTGGGCCCGTTCTCCTTGGGGTTCCCTAGCAGCCTCAAGGCCCTTCTCCCCAAAGGCAAAACCTGAGGCCCCTAATACTGCTAGGAATAAGCTTGGAGGCGTTTGACATAAATGTGGCACAAGGCCTCCTAATTGTAAATGTCTAGTGTTTGGTGATGGGCAAGCCTCCAGAAAGTCTCCGAGGCCCACAGGGAATTGTCTGATTTCAGTGGTCAAGAGACATAGGGCAGGATTCGGGGAAAGTCAGCGGGGGAGGGACCGGATATGCCGGTCTTAAGAAGACCCTTGAGGTTATTGATTCGATGTTCCCTTCCCTGTAAAGAGGGTGTGGTCATCCTCATGCTGGTCCCCCATGGAGTGGCTCCCAGGGTCCCAGAGATCCCCCAGGGCTGACGCATCTCCTTTACCTTGTACTCTGTAGAGAGAGAAGAGACACACACTAAATGGAAATACATGGGTTTTGTTTTGCACCACTACATTGGCCTCTGTCTGAGAGACCCCCCTCCCATCCTTGTTGAATTCAGCCCCAATTTAAGGCTGGTACAGGCCTAATGGATGGCCAGAGGTGGGGGCTGGGCTGGTCCAGAGATACGGTTTTAGATGAAAGGTGACTTTTGAGATCATTAGAACAGAAACAAGAAGAGATTGGGAAGCACGTGGCTAAGATGGCCCATCTTAAAGAGGGCTCCTCCTGGGTTTCGGGTTTCAGGGCAGGCTCATCCTCCTGCCTGAGCCCTCATAGGAGCTGCTGGAGGATGGTGGGAGAGCACGAGACTCATGGAATGTTCGCTGGGAACAATGCGCATTTGGCTCCGAGTGCTTCTTTCCACCCAGGGCTGGCAGGCAAATCTCACTGAGCAGTACAGCACTCTGCAATGGCTCTGGGAACCCAGATGGGACAGATGGCCTGGAGATCACCCAAGGCCAGGGACCTGGGAGGAGGAGGGAAGAGGAGGAGAGGAGGGAGGGAGTGGGAAGGGAAAGGGAGTGTGGGAACTCGGGGTTTGGACAAAGCCCAGTGTGGGGCCAGAATCTGTAGCGATCATTTGCAGAAGGTCAAGCCACAGCTATGAGCAGTGCATCCAAAGCCGCTGTGGGTCCCAGGACGGGCTGGCACTCACCTCGCATGCCCCAGTTGACGGCGTTCATGCTGTCATAGTGGAAGAGATCTGCGCTGGGCGTCTGCAGGGGAGACAGGGCCAGGGCTGGCCTAGCGAGCTCGCTGCTGCTGCCTCCCTGCGGCCATTACCCACCTCCAGAAAATGGCCTCAGAGAAGCCTCGGTCTCAAGTCACAGCGACCTACATCCCTGACACATCCGTGGTGCCTGGGCGCGGCACATAGTAGGCACTCTATAACTCTTCATTTCTTGGTGAACTACATTTACTGCTTTCCTTCACTGCTCAAATACCACTTTTCCTAAGAAATCTGCAAGTTGCCACCCTCCCTCCCAAGCTCCCAATTCCCTTTATCCTGCTCAATGTTTCCCTCCCCACCCCCCATCCGTAGCACTTACTACCTTCTACAGTCTATAGAAATTGACTTGCATCCTATTTACTATTTGCTTTTTGTTTCCCTCTACAAGAACGTAAGCTCCAACAAGCAGGGGGCACTGATATATTCCAAGCACCCACAGTAGCACCCAGTGTATATACAAAGCTTTCGATAAATATCTGTTATGTGACCAAACGTCTAGGCTCCGAGCGTGTGGAGTTAATGCCGGAATTGTTAACATCTTGGGGGTCAAGTCTCAGCACGGCCTCTTACCCTGTGCAGCCCGTTTCTTCGGTAGGCAGGCAGGGAGGCAGATTTGGAGATGAGGGGGTCTGAAAAGAAACAGCCAATGACCAGGAGCCCCAAGCCAGAGATCCCTCTCCTTGAGGCCATCTGGCTGCTAATGGCCAATATTGCCCCCAACCCCGGGGGGAGGGGAAGGGCCACAGGCCGCCAGCTCCTCCCCCTGGCAGCTGACCTACTCAGCGAAGTCTCCCTCTGGCAGACTTGCAGGCCCCCCGGAAGCCTATGTGCCCAGTCTTCTGGCCTCACTCTGCACACACCCACCCTCCCGTGATGAACCCGTGTCCCGGCCACAGGCTGCTCTGGACACGGGCCCCAAACTTGGAGTCGGGCCCAGAGCCCAGACAGCCAGACTCCCGTATGGGTGGAAGACACGCACGTTCTTTCTTTCTCTATGGGAGCTACTGGGTGTGCCAACTCCGGTTCCAGAACCGGAAACTGAGGCCTGCATCTGACAAACACAGTGGGTTGGACTATGTGGGTTCAGGACGGTGTTGGGACACCACAGCTACAGGGGACCCGCATCCGGCTCTGGCTCTCACAGGACACGACAGGCCGAAGGGGGGGCAGGCAGAACGTACCGCTGTCGGCCAGGTAGTGGGACCGAGGGGCTGCGAGACAGAAAAGCCAGAAATCAGCGTTCGTGAGGACAGACAGACACGGCTCCCATCCCTGGGCTACCCTGGCAGGCGGGGAGGAGGGGCCTCCTTTGCCACCTCCTTCCCGCCCGTCAGTTTTCAGTCGCTGCACCTGCACTGCATGCCCCCTCCCCCGCCCAGCACCAGGGGCAAAGCAGGTGCTCTGTGATATCTGCTGCACAGATGCATTGAACAGAACTGCATTTTGAGCAGCTTTGGCGGACAGCGTGGAACCCAGAGCCAGAGGCTGAAAACAGTGCCCCTCGGTGGTCAAACAGGGAAACAGGCACATCAATTTATCCAGGCTCGGCCACTAGCGCATACCTAACTTCTACAAGGTACTTAATCGTTATTTGGTTTTCTCATCATAAGATGGAGAGGGAGAAGGGGTAGTGTCTCCTGTATGGGGGTGAAGAATACTGTGAAGAATATAGGATATACGATAATACTGTAAGGTATTAGCACAGTGCCCGGTGACATACAAACACTCAGTAAAACTGGCTTCATCATCTTCATCACTACTGCCATCTCAAGCTTGCCTAAAATTGAGGCGCAGTATGGAAAAGAGGGAGCAGCTTATGGCCTTGGAGTCTCATTCTGACTTGAGCTCGATCCTGGCTCTGTCACTTCCAGGCTTACTGGCCTTGAGCAAGTAGTAAGCTCAGGTCTCTCATCTATAAAGTGGGTGATAATAATCCCTCCTACATTCCCAGTGTTTGTGAGGACCAAGAGTGATAATGTATTTACACATGCCTGGTGTAGAGGATTATCCATTAAATGTTGAGATGAGGTAGGATTTCCTGGCAAGACTGACCCCCACGGGGGTAAGAAAGGGAGGGAAGCACGTGTGTGTCCGGAAACAGGGAGGAGCTTACAATGAGAGGATCTCTGGGCAAAGTGCTTGCTCCATGCTTCTTGTTTACTTCCTGTGATGGGAGGCTTACTACCTCAAGAGGCAGTCCCTTATATCTTTGAGCCATTCAGGCTATTAGAAGACATTTTTCTTTGTACTGAATCTGACTGAAAGTCATAGCTTCAGACACCCCAAAGAAACAAGTGCCTGCTTAGGACAGAGGATGGTCTTACTCAGTGCCCCATACAGCACCTCACCAAATCTGTATTCTAGACCCAGGCGAGGCCACGCGGAGTTCATATTCATTCAGGGAGCTGGAAGGAAGTGACCCCACCCACACAGACTTCTGGGGTGGTGCTTACAGCCATTGAGGGACATGTCATAGCCAGCTGTGTGCAGAGCCTCCCGGCTGCTGGTGGAGCTCCGGGGTGGGGTCCAGGGATCTGCGTAGGAGCTGGAGCGGGCCTTCATCTCCTCCTTCAGAATCAGCCGGCCAATTCCACTCTGAAGCTGGGAGTTGGGGAGGAGCAAGAGAACACTGAGCCGGAGGAGGCTTGGGGGGCAGGTGACTAGATTCTGGTGAATCTCTCATTGTTGCCTTCCCAGCGTCCCTCCTCACAACCCCATAGCTTCATTTGGGACTTTGTCTCTCTTCCACAAGTAGTCCTGTGGTCCAGGGACAGGGAGGGGGCTCCGGTGGAGGGCACCGGAAGTAGGCCTGGCCAACGGCACGTGGGCAGATGGCTCTAGTTGGGCCATCGAGGACCTTCCTTGGGACTTTTGTCACTGGCACCCATCTTTTTTAAAAAAATTTTTTATAGAGGTGATATTCACATAACATATAATTAGCCACTTGAAAGTGAACGCTTTGGTGGCGTTTAGTACATCCACCACATTCATTTAGTTCTGAACATTGTTTATCACGCCCTCAAAAGGCCGTATACCCAGTAAGCAGTCATTCCCTGCTTACCTCTCTTCCTGGGCCCTGGCATTCGCGAATCTGTGCTCTGTCCCTGTGGATTGACCTGTCCTCCTAGACATTTCCTAGGCCTGAGTAACACCCCACTGTATGGGTACGTGCATCTCGCTTATCCATTCGGGCAGTGACGGTCACCTGGGCTGCCTCCACCTTTTGGCTATTGTGCAAAGTGCGGCTATGAAGATGCAGACACATGCCCGTGTTCGAGTTCCAATCTTCCGTTCTTCTGGGTAAATTACCCAGGAGCGGAATTGCCAGGTTTCCCCAGGTGGCTGCACCACTTTCCATGCCCACCAGGGGTGCGTGAAGGTCACTGGCACCCGCTTGCCACTACACGAGATAAGCTGTCTGAGCACAAGGGCAGCGCAGAGCCGGGCGGGCGCAAGAGAAGAGAGAGACGGCTTTCCCAGGGTGATGTATTGAGCAGCTGGATCTGGTCATGCCTGACACTTCCCCTGCCGTTTGACGTTTTTGGTTACACGAGGCTGTGTGTTTCTTTGTTCTATCATAAGTGGGTCTAAATTTGGTGTCGGTCCCTGTCAAGTGAAAAAAACCCTCAGTAACATATGCGTGGGCATCTCACCCAGGGTGCCGCCCGCTTACCTTATGCATGCTGCGGTCAAAATCGTCTTCCTCTCCTCCAGACGAGAACCTTCTGGCTCGGGGCACTGCTGAAAAACAGCTGGGGTCAGCTCCTGCGCGAGGCCCCCACTCAGCCTGCCCCGGGTGGAGGGCACAGAGGGACGCAGAGCCTCGATAGGTAGGGGTTTCCTTTCAGTCCGCCACTTTCCAGCCGAGTGACCCCGATCGAGTATGCTTTGGTGGATTGCCCCTCCACTGTGGGCCTCCTGTATGGGAAGGCCCAGTGGCCCTTCCCGTTTTGGGCACAAAGGGCAGGTGAAGCCGAACGCCAGAACTTCCGCAGCCACTGAGCCTCAGTGTTGGCACTTTTCCTTCTGCTGGTGGGAGACAGAGCCCTCTTTCTGCCAAGGGTAGGCCTGGGCAAGCCTAGACCAGCTGGAGCTCATCCTACCGTATGATGAGCCTGAGAACAGAGCCACCCCGGGGATGGGGCCAGCCCCGATGACGGCCATTCACCTCTGGGGCCAGCCGTGCCTCAAAACCTTTCACTCTTGTGACCCAGAAAATCTCTGTTTTGGCTTAAGCCATTTGGGAGTTATTTTTTTCTCTTTTGGGGTTTATTCTTTTGTGATCGCGATGGTCTACGATTCCCTTCTTCCCCTCATGCCTCCCTAAACACGTATCTCTCAAAGATTGTTGTCTGTTTTAGGTTGTAGTGGCTTGTGTCTTATCTCCTTTCCCAAATGGAAACTTTTCTGAGGGCAAGGGAGAGCCCATCTCCGGGCTCCTGTGAGGCTTTGCTCAGAATGGACATTCAGTCAGTGAAAGTATGCACTGGATCGAAAAGGAGCTTGATGAAAATGCATCCCCACGCTTGACGGGTGGGGATCCATCTCCCCAGCTGGAGATGCCTGACTGGGTGGGACAGCGCGTTGAAGACCAGAGAGACCCCCTGGGTACCCCTGAGGTACCTAGGAGGGTCTTCCCTCTCTCACAAACTCCCTTTTCTATCTTCTAAACCATTTTCCACCCCACAGCCAAGGTGGTCTCTTAAACGCACACGTCTGATCCTGTCACTTTCAGTGGCGTCTTACTGTTTCGGATAAAGACCCAAATCCTTACCTCAATGCACAAGGCCCCGTGGGATGTGGTCCCTCACCCCGCACCTGCTTCCCTCCCTCTCTGGCTGGACAGCATGGCCCCTGCTATTAGCTCTTCTACCTCCTGTGTATCACCTCCTGTACATCACCTCCCTCTCCAGCAGGGACCTATGTCTCCTCCATAAAGGCAAGAATCCGGTCTATTTTGCTCCCCACTGACTCACTAGAGCCCAAGGCTGGCCCCTCAGCATATGATGCTGAATGAATAAATGAACAATCGTGTGAAGGAGTGGGCAACCGTCCTAGCGCCCCTGTGTCCCCGGCACAGGTGACAAGGCTCTGGTCCGGGATCCTCTGTGGGGCACGTTACCTTTGGGGGACCCATGGTACGTCCAGTACTCAGACTCTGTAGCATAGTAGGGGTCTGGTGAGTAGGCTGGACTATACTTGGAGGCCTGGCTGATGTCTTCACTTGTTTTGCTTTTGGTTGCTGTTGACAGATCGCCTGCAAAGGACCCAAGGAGAGAGCTTCAGGGAGGCTGAGCGTCCTAGAAGAGTGTACGATATACTCTCTTCCTGCCTCGGCCAGGCTCCAGCCCAGCAGAATAAGGACACTTTGAGGCCAGGGTCTGGGACATGGAGCATCTGGGCTGGACGAGGCCTCAGGCCAAGCCCTTCATGTTACAGTTGGGAATGTGAACACCAAGGAGGGCAAGGGGCTTACTGAAGACCACACAGCAAGTAGACCAGACGTCTGCTCAGAGTTCTTGCTACCGTGTTCTGTGGACTCCCAGGGCTGCTTCCAAGAGAACACGAAGCTGTGACTCTTCCACGTAAGATTAAACAGGTCCCAGTTGATCCCACACCCTTACCTTCCCCAGCCTCTAGAAGCCTGTCTTGTTTTGTATTTGAGCCATACATAGGGTGAGAATCGCCCACCAGGGCCACATGCTGCATATCAACTTTCCCCTGCTACTGAAATGCCAAATCTTGCTTGGGGAGACCATATGGCCCAGAGAAACGACCACTGGACAGGGATCAGTGATGCTGGGTTCTGGCCCCAGCTCTGCCGCTTAACTTAGCTGTGACACTGGGCACCTCTTGCCCCTCTCTGCCTCAGTTTCCTTATCTGTAAGTGTCAGAATTCGTCTGCTGGGTCAGGTGCCTTCCAGCTTCCAGCTTTCCCAACATGGACCATCAAGCCTACCGCAGCCACAGAACCTTCCAGGTCCCATAAATATCTCTGAGGAAGAAGCGATAGGGACCATCCCACACGCTGTGCCGCCAGAGCAGCAGAGCATCCTGAGATCAGCCCTTTGTCAGCTCCAGTCTGCGCCCCCACCCCCAGCAGCACTTGCTTCCAAAGCTTGCAGATTCTCTTGAACTTGGGTCCTGGGCAGTCCCTCCAATCTCCACTGATGTCATTCAGCCTTTTCATGTGCCCTCCTATCCATGCAAACTACCTCCACCCAAACTCCTCCTGCATCTGCCCTGGTGCTGCCCCTCAGAACCTGCCTGGAACATCACACACAGTCCCGAGGCGTTTGAGACCCGGGGGCCTTTTCTGGACAAACTGGCTTTGTCAGGGTTGGTATGTTTCTGTGGCCACTCAGGATGCATGGCCTGTCCTCCACAGCCACACACAGACGTGCACGTGCTCACAGATTCACTTAGACCCCAGGCCAACCCCCTTCGAAATGAGGACATTTGTCTAAATTGTCAGGCCTTGGCCCAGAGCCGTGATTTGTATTTGTGTTGCCCTCCACAGCGCCCCTCCAATTCTGTACTCCCCTCTGCTGTCCATGTAGCCTGCAGGCATGCGAGAGCCATGCAGGGTAGCAGCTGCCCCCTGCATCCTCAGTGCAAAGGGCGTGCTTCATCGGCCGAGGCTCAGGAAGTGCGTTTGCAAGAAGGAGCAGGAGGTATTGGGGACGCCTGACTTAGTGGTTCTCATACGGAGTGCGGGAAGGAATCATGAATGAAGCTGGTTATGGTGTGGATTCCTAGGTCACACTCTCAGTATTTCTAATAAGAGAGCCCAGGACAGGGGAGGGGCCAGGGCATCTGCTTTTTAAGTAAGTCTCTCAGGTACAGGTGGTCCATAGACCATTCTCCAGGAACAATGAATGAATGCACGAACGAACGAAGGCATCCTCATCGAAGCCCTGTTCTTTTCTCATCCATTCCCCCTACCCAACCCTCCGTTTACTCTTAACACACGGTTACTGACAGTAGCTCTGAGCAGTGGTTCCCAAGCTGGGCTGGGCGGTGGAATCACGCGGAGAAACGGTTACACACACAGAACTGCGATTCAGTAAGGTGGGGGTGGGGCCCAGGAATCTGTACGCATCCCACGGGACTCTGATGACGTCAAAGCTTGAGTATCCATGCCTTGGGGTGCTCCCAGGGGTACCCGCATTTGAGAAGGGTTTCTCTGCCCATGGAATTTAGGACACCAGACAGCAGGGAAGGGGGTGGGGCTGGAAAGGAGGTGGGAAAGTGTTTAGGGAACACAAGGGCTTCCTTGCTCTTTTAAAAAGACACCAAACTCCCCCCAGTATCACCTCAGGTGATTGGGGGCTCGCTAACAAGGAAGACAGAACGGCAGCCTTGCGGGTGTCCACCCAGGTAGCCCCTGCAGCCCAAGTGCACGGATGGTGAACGGCCCCGCCCCTTGCCTGGCCACGCCCTCTCCGTACCTTGCCTTTTGTAGATCGGGGGTTTCCGGTAGATGTTACTTTCTCCAGCTGCCAGGCAGACCGGGAAGGGGCCATGGGGAGAGGAGAGAGAAAAAGAGAGAGAGAGAAAGGAGGAAAGGAGACAGCGGTTGGTCAGCTGATCTCAGAAAGACAGTGAGCGTCTTTTCCCAAGGGTGCACATCTTTCAAAACACAATTTCCAACCTCAACCCGGGAGGTGCTAGGAAAGGTGAGGGGAGAGGAATGGATGGATTCTAATGGTGCTCGGGGGGGCTCGGGCTTGAATGGTGGGCATGCGGGCACGAGGCGGTGCGTGCTCAGCAGGACCCCATGCAGGAAGGTGCCCCTGCCTCCACCCTGCGGCCACGCCTCATTCCACGCAGAAGGTCCCAGAGCACCGCAGCCCGCCGTTCAGCGTGATCGCCCTCCCACCCCCTCCAGAACAGACAGGATGGGACCTTTCTGGGGCAGTCGAGAAAGGTATAGATGAAACAGCAGGATGTGCTCCTGGGGGAAAGCGAGTGGGGAGTAAAAACCTGAGCTCAAGAGTTGGGAGACTGGGTTGAGGCCCGGCTCTGCTGAACTCTGGGCAGGACCCTAAGTCAGACATGCAAGGTTACCTAGCTGGTACCTTCCTCTCCTGTAACTCCCCATCCTGCTCACCTCTTCCAGGCACGCTGGCTTGCTGCTGGTTTGGTGTTTCAGGGCCTTGGCACTTGATGTGCCCTCTGCCCGAGACCTTTTCCCTGAGATCTCCAATGGCTGGCTCCTTCTCCTACCCCACCGCCCCCCCCTCCAAGAAGCTCTCCTTAACCACCCTACCCAGCCCCGCCTCCCCTACCCCAGTTACTCTATCACTGTGCCCTGTTTATTATGTTTATTGCACCTACCATCTACCTGGAATTACCCTTTTACTTATTTGTTTACTCATGTATTAAATTTCTCTCCACGTATAAACACCATGAAGGCAGGATCTGGGCTGGTTTGAGCACATTTGCGACCTCAGGGCCCAGAACAGTGCCTGGCTGTCTAGAGGGACTGACAGAGGCTCAGGAAAGCTAAGTAACTGGCCCAAGCTCACAGGCTTCTGAGTGGTGGAATCGGGATTCAATCCCAAGAGTTGCAATGCTGAAGCCTAGGACTTTCAGCATGGTTACTGCCGGGGCGCGGCCCTCAGACATTCGAGGCACTTTTCTGGCTGCTTCCTGGGGGTCTGGATCGAGGCTGGCTCTGTCAAGTGGGAGGGCCCACGCCCCTGGGCGCGTTGGGACTGCAGGGTGGGTTACTGCGGGTAACTGGTTAGGGAGGGTCCCCAGGAACTGGCTTCTGTTTGCCGCCAGTGCAGGGCGCCCGGCGACCCCACGGAGCATGCACCCATGCTGGCGGTTCCGGGCTGGCAGCCTACCTGGGATGTGAAAGTGCTTGGGAGCCTGGTAAGAGGTCGGAGTGGAAGACCTCACATCTAACTGGCTATGGTATGGAGAGCTCCGGCCACTCTCGGGCCCTGGAGCACGCAGGCAGTGGTCCCCAGAGAGAACAGAGGCACAGAGAAAACAGGCATTAACGCAGTGGCATTAAGGCAGCAGTGACGTGATGACAGCAGGGATGGGAGGGAGGGTCTGTGCTCTCATGCACCGTGTCCGCAGAAACAGGCTTGACCCGGTTTTCTTGCCTCACCTCAAAGTCAGATTTCGTGGGTTGTAAGAATCACCTACACTGAGCGTCAGGAAGGTGTCTTTGCACCTCTTAGCTCCCCCCCCCAACCCCTCTTGATTGCTTCTGTCCTCCATCCAGGTGTCTGCTGCACCCCTAACCTCAAGTGGCCGTGGGTGGCCTGACTGGATGGGGTAAGGCTGGGCCTGTTTCGGGTCCTCTGGTTCTACCCTCTGGATGGGGCAGGCCAAGGCCAAGGCCAAAGGAGTGTTAACCCAGCCAGTGCTGCCAGGCTGCCTGCCACTCTTCTCTCCTGGCAGCTTGTCACCCGCCTTCCTGCTGCTTCTGAGCCCCATCTCTCCCCCTGCTAGGGGCATCTCTGTAAGGCCCAGCTGGTCACCCGGGTGGTCCAGAGGGCCGTGCTGTGATGGAGATCCCGAGGGGGAAGACTTGTGCCGTCTCTACAGCTGGCGACAGAGCTGGCTGCTGCGCTGCCCCCTGGCTCTTCTTGTCCCTTTTGGGGGCTTCCCCCCTCCTTACCAGAGCGGTAGTAGTGGTGAGGCGAGCGGGAAAAGGTGGGGGACATGCCCTGGCGGCTGTAGGTGGGGGAGTCGATGTATCCGGGGCTGGAGGCCCTTCTCTGTCGGAGGTCCAGGCTCTCGTAGATATCCTGGGGGAGGAAGTGAGCCATGAGCAAGGCTGGCGATGCGACAGGCCCGTGGCTCCAGGGTCTGGCAGGCAGGTGGGGGAGGGACATAGAATCCAGGACTCGAGGGGGCTGAGGATCCAAAATTCATGGTGCTGCCCTTCTGAATACACAGGCCCCCTCCCTGGATTACACGCAGAGCCCAAGGAAAGCTGTAGACAATTATTTGGTGCCTTCACCCATCACTCAGTCCCTTGAATAGAACCCGTAGGTCAGGTGCCTGGAATCCTGGCCAAGGATCAGAGGAGCATCAGGGAGGCGACACTGATGAAAGGGTCACCCTCTACTGTTTACACCGCAGCCACCTCCTCCAGGTCATGCTCCTAAGTCTGCCGTCTGTACCCTGGTTGGGGAGCACCCTAGGGGGCTGGGGAGAGGGGAAGCCAGCGGTCTGCTTGGTCAGCCTAAAGGGACACAATTATAGAAAAGGTCTTCCTGAACCGGCCCAATTACCTGGGAGTAGGGAGATAGTGTTCCCAGCGACTTAGAAGCGAAGAGTTTGAAGGCCATCGTGGAAGGAGCAAAGGAAAGAGAGGAGGGAGAGAGGAAGAGGGTTAAGTAGCTCAGTGGAGAGTGTGCAGCTGCTCCTGGGCCCCCCTCCCCAGACGGCAGGTGCGCTTAACATGCTGGCATACCAGCAGTGCCCACAGGTAGCAGGAACCCCTGGGATGGTGCCCTCCTCCTCCCAACAGGAAACCAAGGCCCAGAGAGGGCACGGGGGTGGGTGGGTGGGGGGGCTCCGGGCCTCTCAGGTACAACGTGGCAGGGCCTTTACTTGGACCCAGGCTTCTCTGCCACTAGCTCAGAGCCATTTCCTGACCCTTCCTTGTCCCTCTACCAGTTCACGACCCCTCTGTGGTTCACGACGACAGTGTGCAGGGCGGGGCGACCCAAACGTAAGGCCAATGAAGGCCAGGCTGCCGCCATCACCGTGGGAGTTGGGCGGCGGGGGTGTGGGTGTGTGTGGCGGGCTGGCGATGGGGCATCCCGGCTGCAGAGGGTGCAGCCCGCTCAGCCCCGGGGACACTGCCCAGTGTTAACACAGCTCCTTAAGTTCCCGAGATGAGCCGGCAGGTCGTTACTGCAATCTCTCGATGTGTAAATATTGGCAACTGCCTTACGTGTTTAAAAGATTCTTTGGGAGAGAAACAAAACAAGTCTGGGAGTTGGCTCTGGCCTGGGGGGCCCATTTCTGGCTCCAGGAACATCAGCGTCTATCTGACACGTGGTCCCCTGTTCCCGGCCCATGTTAGAGGCCAGAGCCCGGAGAGTCTCAGCACTGGGCTGTCCAACCGAAGAAGCCTTATCCCTTTAGAGAGGAAGGGAACAGTGCTGGGCTGGGGTCAAGAACCTGGGCCAGGGCTCCTTTGCCTTTAAGCCATCTCAGCCCAGCGGCCTGGGGTGGGGCTAGAAGCTGCCTGCGATATAGACTGCCAGGAGCTTCGGGGCAACAGCCGCCCTGCCTTCTCCAGAGAACACCTACTCCTGTCCAGCCACCGTTTAATTATTTCAAAAGCCCTCTAATGCTGAGTTTCTAAAAAAAATGACTCTTGCTCTGAGCATAGGGACTTAAGGTCAGGTGCAAAAACCAGAGAACCAACCTACCAGGGATTATAAATCTAAGGCCACTGAGCCTGTCAGGGGGTGACAGCCATGGGCTGTGTATAAAATTACTCCACTGGAAGAAAAACAACAGCTCAAGTGGTAAGTGGCCACAGGTTCTTGGCTTCAATGCTGGGGTTCTCAGGGGGCGGTGGAGACTGGGGAGAACTGAGGAGCCCATGTCCTGTCTATAAGAGGCATTGCTCCCCCCTCTCCAGATGGTGGAAATGCTGGTGTACTGTCACCTGCTCTGATTTTTCAAGAAAAGTCAGATTTCTGGATGACATTGCTTGATTCTGAAATGTTGACTATAACTTCCAGCTTATAAGAGTCCAGGGGCCAACTCTGTGGAGGCCGAAGTGTCTGCCTGTGATGGAGTGGCCGGGGACCCTGTGGGCCTCCTCTCTTTCAACAGCCCCCCCTTCCGCCGAGAGAGGGGCGAGACGCCATACCTCTCCATAGCCACATCTCTCCAGCATCTCGTCGGACGTGTATCTGGAATGAGGCTCGTAGGAAATGAGGTCAGGGCGTTGTACCTCGTAGATGGACTTAACCTTGGGGAGAGCTGCCAGGTCTTTGTAATTAAGGATCTCATTATCCACTTTAGCCTGGGCAAGAGGAAAGATATAGGAAAGAGGCAGAGAGGTAAGAGGGAAGAGAGAGGGGAAACAAAAACCAGGCACAGGGGGAACAAGCTCTACAGTTTCCATTAAAAACAAAGTAATAGGATGGAGGAGGAGGAGAATGTTAGAATCAAGCAGGTGTTAGAGGCCATCCATTCCTAACACTGAGTGAGCACATTTTATGTGTGAGGCCCCATGCTTTGCAGGAATTATCTCCTCTAAGGGTCCCAAGGCCTCTGTGCAGTCAGTGTCAATGCTATGACTATTTTCCAGATGAGGAAACTGAGGCTCGAAAGGTTCTGCACTTTGCACTGTTTAGCCAGTAGGTTTGGATCCAGTCTGAACCCCACAGCCTGGGTGGGGACTGCCTTTCGACACCCCCCCCTTCCCAGGAAGGACATCCTCACTCATGGCTCCTTGAAGATGATGGAGATGATGAAGACAGATTTAATCCCAGAAAGTGAAACCCTAGCTGACATTTGGTGAGCACTCATGACAAGCCAGACTGTCCTAAGTCCCCTGTAGAGATTTACTCCCTTAACTCCTACAACTCACCACGCTCCTAGTAGGCACTAATATCATCCTCAGTTTTTGAATGGGGAAACAGGCACAGAGAAGTCAATGAACTTGCCCAAGGTTATACAACCAATACGTGGCAAAATAGGAATTCCAACCCTGCCAGTCTAGCCTGGAAACTTGCCTTGTCCATCAGCCTCTGCTAGCTTGGCAGGGTGGGAGCTCACTGTCTTACAGTTGGAAGACAGGTGCACTCAGAAAACCGGCCCTGTGTGAACTGAGCTGAGCCTCCAACTACTACCTGACATTGGCTGAGTTCAGCCTTCTAGAACTGCATGGATTAAGAGACAGCTTCCCCTTGCGTGGGGCAGAGCACCTCTCATGGCTTTTGAAGCTGTGTCCTCTCCGTGTCTGCCTCCTCCAGCTGTTCCTCTGTGATGGGCTTCTGCTGTGGTCAACAAGGATCTGTCGCACCTTAACCACTGTGGCTTGCGCGGTCCTGACATGAGATACATTGTGAGGCCGCTAGACAGAGACGCTAAGGAAACAGTATTGTCCTCATAACATTCTTCCAGGGCCTCCGGGCCCCAGGCGAGCCTCAAGCCAAAACTACTGTAGACAGGGCAACTTTCATGAAGACCTTATAAGTACTGCTGTTTGAAACATGTTCCAAGGTCCTTCCGCCATTCTGTCCTGGGCCCAGCCCCCCACTGTTTGAGCACTTTGCTGCTCATTCTCTGTTGCTTCTAGAGCCACTGTCCACTCCTCCTTGCCCTGATTTGGGCTCTGAGGCTCCGTGGGCTACATCGAAGGCTCCATGGATTTCAGTTGGGTTGGGTCAATGGGGGGCACCTGCAGACTGGGGGGTGATGGAGAGAGAGGCCATGTGCCTGTGCCCCCTTGGCACTGCCCTTGCACCACTGGCTGTGGTAGGATGGCTCCTGTCCAGGGCTGCCTTTCACACTTTCAGCTTCTGCCAGACCTTCTCTTCAGGCTTGGGGTGGCAACAGCTCCTGCTGCCGTAGACCCTGGATGCCATACCTTATGTCTTGTGGGTCCTCTAACCCTGCCTACACCTCTGTGAATGGTCCCTTCCATTCGCCTTCCTCAGTGAAACCCTTAGAAGAGTGCCATCTCATGTCTGCCTGGGTCAGGCACCATGTCTGTACCAATTCGAGGGTGTCTGGGTCAAGGGAACCTTACTAGGTGAGTCCACTTGCTGAAGCAACTGGTGCCTTCGTTGTGGGATGTTAGGACTTGACCTTGAGAGCTCTTGGCATCTTGCAAGCTTGTCTTGACCCATCAATATTCTTCTCAGTGCTTTAGTCCAAACCTCAGAAATACTAAATTTATATTTCTTCCTCTCGCCACCGTGTTTATAGGGTTATAAATGACCCTTAGGTTTAGAGGCTCAGTGATTGAACAGAGGCATCCCAACATAATTAGCCAGGAAGGAAGGAAGAGAACATGTGGGGCTGGTGGAAGACAAACCTCTTGAAGATGATTCTAGCAGTCAGTGGCAGAGGGTGGGGGAAGTGGTGGTGGTGGAGCAAAGCTGGAACGATCCTGCCCCCTCCAGGCTCACTGAGAATTCTATTTTAATACCAAAGCTCAGTATTTATGAAAATTAAGCCAACACTTTATCCTTTTATTATCGCATGTCCCCAAAGTGACTGGATGGTCTCTTCCCTGAATTTGGAAGCCATGTTTGGAAGGGTCTGATTGAAAACACGGCCCCCATGACGTGCAGTCATTCCCCAGAGCAGCCGAAGGTGAGGCATTCTAAAAAGTGAGGAAGGAGAGTACAGAAAGGGAGCCACGTGCCTATGTGAGCCTGCGCAGGTAACTGATCTCAGTGGGCAAGCCCCCAGCCGGGTGGCACAATGACAGCTGTCCCCAGCTGCTCTTGTTCTTTTGTATGAAGCTGCTTCTCAGAGGCGCAACACTGCGCTCTTTCTCCAGGACTCCAGGGTGAACACCGTCAGGGCTGGTTTGCTTCACGAAGGTTAGCGAGGCTCCTCAGAAGCAGGGAAGACCAGCCAGGGATTAAAGGCATTAGAGCACTGCTCTGTGTATGTCCATCCCGAGTCTGTATATCCTGGTAACTCTGCTGGAGACATGCTCACTCTGTCAATAACCTTCTCACGGTGCAGGCCCTGAAATTAAGCTCATTAATTCTGCTTGTGTCTGGCCCCATTCATAGCACTGAGGGGACGATCGTCTCTCTTGATCTGGACAGGACTCTTGAGTGAGTGCAGCCTGTGATCAAAGCGTTCGTCTTCAGGGAAAGCCACAAGGCAATATTTACTGTATTGAACTTGCTGTCAATAGTAACTCTTATGTCTGATTTTCATTTGAACAGAGGAAGAAAGGAAAGGAAACAGTCCCATTAATGGGCATCATCCAGGGATCAAGGAGGAAACTGGATGTGGATTTGAGGTAAAATAATGATGGAGCGGTGGTGGTCAGGGGCCACCCAGGGTTGGCTCGTTTGGAGACTGTATCGAAAGCTTCTTATCAGGCATGTAGACCATACCCCCCACTTTCACTTCTGCTCTCCTTGGCCCCTCAGACTTGGGGAAGGTTGGAACGGTCTGCAGTCAGATGGCCCCTCTCCTTTGCTCCTCTCTGGCTCTGCCTTCCCCACCTGCTTTAACTTCTATTTCTCTCTCAGGTCTGAGCTTAAAAGGTTCTTCCTCAGGATTCTTCTTCCAGTGGGTCCTAGACTGTCTGTCCCTCAGCCCGTCTGCACCATCATTAGAGCAACTTGAACTTTTTCTTCCTGGCACTTCTCAGAACTGTGACTGATTATGCATGAGGGAATGTAGTCAATGCCACGAGGCCAGGTATCAAGTCAGTGCACTTCACCACCATTTTCCAGCACAGACCCAGCACTTAGCACACATTTGTTGAATGAATGAATGAATGAATGAATGAATGACATATCCAAGGGACTTCTGAGCTCATCCAACTCAACTCTTGTCTCCTCTGCCATATCCCTGCAAACGACGAGTTTCTCTGTGCGAATGCTTCGGGGATGGGATTCAGGGACACGCCTGTGGTCTTTTCTATCTCTGAACTTATGTCACTGGAAAGCTTTCCTTTACATTTGCAAATCCTTTACTTCAGGTTTCCACATTCATGTGGCTTCTTCCTTTCTTTCTGTGTCCTTCTCACCCACCCCTATCTCCACACAGACCTCCCACCCAGTCCCTACTCTGAATACCCCTCTGGCCCCAGATTCTGGTCTCACTCTTGCCTCAGGTAAGCAATGGGGAAGGAGGCACACCACAGTGTCTTGGAGCTCATCAAGGGCTCTTCTGTCTTTGCACTTTCCTGTGCTCCTGCTACACTTGATCGTCCCCATAACACTGTTTGTATTAGGCTGTGTGATTGTGAAGGCACGGTTCCTCTCCTCCCTGTGCCCTACTGTGTCCTCAGGATTTAGCACAGAGTCTAGCACGTGACAGGCACACACAAGACATTAGCTGGATAAAAACCTCGCAGCTATCTTTGGGTGTCCTTAGGAAGTCTTTAGATCCCCGGCCTGGGGCTAAGGAAGGCCCCTGGGTGCCCGAAAAGTGATACGTACGCAGATGACTCGGTTGGGTGACCCGATGCTGGAGCCAGGGGGTGAGATGGAGGTTTCGGACGTCCGCCTATGCTGTGGGAGAGAGGAGACAGGAGTGAGAAGGCGCACCTCGAGCGGGAGGGGAGGAGGGGCAGGGAGGAAGGGAGGTGGCTGTGCAGGGGACAGCGACAACATTATGAAATACACTGGTTGGCTTTCTGTACTTTCTCTTTATTTTCTGCCTTTTTAATTCACGTCTGAGTGTGAATGAAATTGGAAATGCACAGGACTTCGGGCTGTTGGACAGAATTTGGATTTGTGATTGCTTTTTTTTGACATATTTTAGATAGGCATTTATTCATAAAACTTGTCATTGGGGGTTATCCTGCCAATAATGTATTTGCTTGAAATGAATAAAGTTGGTCAGTACTTATTCCTTAGCAGTTTATTGATATAAAATGTACCAGCAGGTTAAACTTCAGGCAATTGCATAATGTATTGATTCTTTATGGGGTCTCCATTGCAAGTTAACATCAGCCTAAGTGATGAACTTAAAAAATCTTTCTCTGGACAGTGGCAATGATGTGTTCATGGTTCCCTCAGCCGAACGGCACTATGTCAACCTCAGTGCAGCCACGAGAGTGACAGCATGTTGTAGATGAAAAGCAAACAGACCGGCGACCAAGAATCTCTGGTGAACTATGTGATTTTAGACATTCCAGATTCCTGATCTCTAAAATGAAGGGGCTGGCCTTCGGGATGCTAAATTTCCTGCCAGATTTCTCATGCCACAACTTAGAATGAAACCATTCTAATTGGGGCTCTCGAGTGGTGTTTCCCAAACTATGGATCACGAACCAGCGATCCTAGGTGTGGCTCTGGGAAGATGAATTTAGGGGGAGTATTTGATAATACTGAGTTGCAGAATGGGTGTAATATGTAAATGTGTATTTCATTCTTCTTGGTTCGATCAAGGAGGAAGTCTTAACTTAGAGCTCATACATTTTAGCAACTTTCTCGACAGTTCCATTTGTTTTGAAACGAGAGTATAGGCAATGCCATCTAGCTGGAATTTCTAAGATTTATTTTTACGCAACATTTCATTTGCATTGAATGTATTTTGTGGTTGCCTTCTACTATAATAGCAAGTGATCCTGGTTTTCCAAGCGGTGGTATAAAGTTTATTTTAAAACAAGTTTGGTTACGTAAAGAGCAGTGGGTTGATTTAAAGAAAAAATATTGGTACAGGTGGTTCACAGCTGTGGCAAAAGCATCAAGGTCATGGCAGGATGACTGAATTTGAGAAATGCCACCAAAAAGTGAAAATTGAGGAAGAAAGGGCAATTAGGTCTTTTTGCATCTTCAATGGGAGAGGACTTGGAAGAAACGGGGAAAAACCCCTCACGCCTCAAACAAAATGATATATCAACTGTCAAAACGAAAGACCAGTTCTTTGACAAAGTGTAGAGGCATTCTGGACATAATCAAGGGCCTGTCCCCAACACATGCCCAGGTTTCTCCTCCACAGCATCGAGGACTCCAGAGCTGGGCTCCTCCCTGCGGTCCTTGGATGGAGAACCCAGATTCACAGGACTTCTTGGTACTAGTGAGAGCAGTGACTCACAGGGACGCAGGACTCAGGTGTCCCGGCGTGTGCCTGGGGACACTGGCTGTGCTCCTGCCGGCAGCTTTACTGTGGGCAAACCACCACCCTCTTTCGACTTTGAGTTTCTCACAAGCAAAGAGAAGATAAAATTCCTTGTCGCATCTGATCCGTGGGGTTAAAGCAATAAAATCAGACAGTGGCTGATGCTTTGCAAACTGTCAATTCGTGTGTCAATACTAGCAGCACTAATGAATGACGTCAGGCTGGGGGAAAAACCCCAGCACGTGGCCTTCAGAGAGCCATTGCTCTTGGTGACTGATGCTAAGGCAAAAAGCCTTGCCCCAGAAACGCTAAAACCTCACATCGATACAGTGCTGCACGGTTTTCAAAGTGCTCTCACATGCAATGTCTTTGTCCCCTCAAAAGCCCCACGCGGCAGGTGTTACCATGAAGGAGACCTAAGGATGCGGGCATACAGTTGGGAGCGTGCATGCTAAGGAACAAGCCCCTACCAAAGCACAGTGCCCCCAACCAGTGGCAAAAATTCCGGTCCATTATCCCTGCCAGCTTGCTTACCTTTAACTTCTTCTCTGCCCGGGCTGCCTGTTTGCAGATGGGGTGCCACACCTCAGAACCTAAGGGGCCAGCAAAACAACGAAGGCTCAGACCTTTCATACCTGCTTGCTTTCTTGCCATCCTCACCTCAGTGTCGTCCCTTGGCAGCTCATGTGCCCTGTGCAGCCGCCGGGAGGCCCCCAGGCGTCCCAGGCTCTGCTCCTACATCGATTCAACCACCCACACTCTTTCTACCTGTCCACATCCTACCCGTTCCTCAAGGTACCGGTTCCACGCAGCATCTGCCTGCAAGCTTGCTTACCTGGCAGCCGGGAGAGACTTCTCTCTTCTCTGGGATCCATCGTTCTTTGTATCTCTCTTAACACATACGACCTCACATCACAGTAGCTTGCGGATTCGTTACCCTAACTAAATTAGAAGCTCCTCAGGGAGGGGCTATGCTTTATTCATTGCTGGGCCTCCCTCAGCACCCAGAATGGGATCGTGCTCTCCGCAGAGGCCCCGTACGTGTTTGCAGGGTGAACAGATGAGCGGATGATTGGCGGTGAGTGACAATAGCAGGTGGTCAATAAATATTTATTGAATGAACGAATGACAGTGGAGGTGAAAGAAAGTGACAGACCATGGGTGAACTCCAACCTTCTTTCTCTTCAGAGACGCATGACAGTCTACTAGATCTATCATTTGAAGGGGAAGACATTCTGCTTGAGCCCACTGTCCTGACCCGCTAATTCCTAAGGGGCTCCAGACTCTTCAAATATAGTATGTTGCAAATGCCCACATTTTATCGTGGAGAGGCCGACTTGGAAAGGCATGAGCAACAGGTGGCTGGTCACATGTTGGGAAGAAGCCCCAAATATGACACATTCCCCAAAGAAGAGACAGGTGTCCTGGATTAGAAGGAAAAATAGGAACATATTACCCCTCTGGTGTCATTCCTCTTGTTACTAGCCCTAAAAGGAAAGGAGCCAGCAAATGGCTGGATTCCTGAGCACCCAGATGGCATTTGTTTGTCTGACTTTGTTTTTAGGATACACTTTCCATTATGGTTTGTTGCCTGGAACTCCCAGGCCTGGGATGCTGGCCAAGCGACAGGGGGGTGGGGTAAAGTTGAAAATTTAGTCCCCAAAATGTAATATACAGAGGATAGGTCTGAAGGTGAGGAGCCTGGGGTCTGGTTTCTGGAGCCTGGATGCTTGCCTCTGCTTGGCCCCAAACACATCCTCTCCCTGGGTTCCGGTTTCTTCGTCTAAATAACAATGAGGTGGGGTTTGGGTGGTCTCAGAGATTACTTTCATCTCCAAAATTTTAACTCTACGCCCAGATTGTCATTTATGAGGTAGGGATCTTTCAGTTTTGTTTGCCGAGTTTCCTGTGAGTTCCTAAGAATTCCACAGTTTAATTCTTGCTAGCGTGAAGTGCAATGGCTCTCGGAGCCCAGTAGAGGGACCCTGGGTCTGCGGGCTGGAGCCTCGCAGTCACAGGGTGTTTCTGCCACCAGTGATGGGTGGGGATCCTTGCTTTGGGGAGTTATTCGAGAGAGCATTTCCGGGTCTGCGAGGCTGCTGAACCACCAGGAGTTGTTTACCCCCATGGCTCTGGCAGGAAGCACATGTTACAGGTCACTGTAGGAAGTGGACGAGGGGATACAGATGTCTAAGAAGGTCGTGAGATGAAGTGAACGAGGCATATGAAGGGAAAGGGCCAGACAGAAGTTCTCACGGGGGGAAACGGCGTGTAAAGAGGGGAGGCCAGACTGGATGGTGTCTCCACACCCCCTGACACAGGCTGTTCTGACGGAAAGCCGAGCTGCAAATGGCTGCAGCCCCAGCATATAGGAACGCAGGTTTCTAGAAGAAGTGGGGGATGGAGTGGGGAGAATCAAAGGGGAGGAAGAACATATGATTAGAAATGAAAAGAAATCAGAAGTTTGGGAGTCGGCAGGAGAGCATGTAAACGAAACAGGGAAGGAACTTGCTGGTGGTGAGCAACAGATGTAGGTAAAGTCAAGTCAGAAGAGGTGATTTGTTCATGAAGATCCTTAGGAGATGGTGGCCGGCTGGGCTTCCGCCACTAGCCAAGAGCTCAACCACATGACCCTGACAGAAAGACAGCATCCAGAAGGCCATTATAGGCTTTCTTCTCAGAGCTTAAAACAGTCTCTGGCTTATGTGTGTTTATTAAAGACATAAATGAATGGCTGGTTGGATCCCACCTCTGAGAGAGAAAGAGAGAGAGAGAGAGAGGGAGGGAGAGATAGAGAGGGAGCGAGAGAGAGAGACAGAGAGAGGGAGAGAGAGAATCAGTGGAGGAGGGGCAGAGAGAGAGAGACAGAGAATCAAAAGCAGCTCCAGGCTCCCAGCTGTCAGCACAGAGCCCAACATGAGGCTCGAACTCACGAACCGCGAGATCATGACCTGAGCTGAAGTCAGAGGCTTAACCAACTGAACCCCCTAGGCACCCCCAGCTCTGTATTTTAAAACGAGACACAGGGTGAAAGGTACCCAAAGGATGATGGTAACCAGGACGGAGAGGGGACCCAAAATGAGGCCATAAGGCAGGGTCTTCACTGTGGAGAGGAGACTAGTTAGCAGAATGGTGAAAAGCGCTTTTCATATTTTAATGCCTCTCTGTGGGAAGAGCAAGGAACTTGTTCTGTGTGTCTTATAACAAGGGCCAAGGGCAGAAGTTTCAGGGAGTGAAAATTTAATGTCTGAGGACTAAATGGGTCCCTTTGAGAGTGAGCTCCCCGTCCCCAGAAGCATGTAAGTACACATTGGGTGGATACACGCTCAGCAGGGATATTGTACAGGAGACATATAATGAAGTAGTTACACTGATGTCTGTAACTCCCTACCCTTGGAGATTCTGTGTTTCATCTTCACAGATTTCTCTGTACAGAAAGAATGAATTATTTGCCCCTGTCCAATGATCCCACTCCTTATGTAAGGTTTAGAAGGAGTAGGACCCCTCTAGATCCAGCTGCAGGGACTGTAGATTCTCAATAAATACTCATTGGGTGAATGAATAAAACAAGAGAAACATGATATTCTCACTTCCCTAAGCTGGGATTCAGAGGCCGGGGTCTGAATCTCAAAGCTGTCCCTCAGCCTGGTGGTAAAGCCTCTTTTTTTTTTTTTTTTTAAGTTTATTTACTTATTTTGGGCGGGGGAGGGGCAGAGAGACAGGAGAGACAAAATCCCAAGCAGGCTCCGCATTGTCAGTGCAGAGCCCGATTTGGAGCTCAGTCTCACCAACCCTGAAATCATGACCTGAGCCGAGTCAAGAGTTGGACGCTTAACTGACTGACTGAGCCACCAGGGCGCCCCGTGTAAGGCTCTTCCTAATTCTTAGCAGAGTCAGCATCAGCCTTATCTCTCTGGCTGGTCACAGCACACCCCACTGTTGGGGTTATTTAATGTTTGGGAACCCACCCATCTCTCTGCTCGATCTTGAAATTCAATTTGCCAATTTTTTTTTTTTTTTTTTTTGCATCAGTGGAGATTTTAATGCCAACTCAGACCTGATGCCATAGTCTTGCAGACCGCCCGGCCAGGGTTACAAACACAGCAGTGACTGAAAGTGGCCCACCTAAAGGTCCTCTTTGGCCGCCACGGTGTTTTTAAGTGAATGCTTTTGGACCCCGCAGGTGGCCAGCGACCCCTCCCCGCTGTCTGCCTCCCAGCCCTTCTTAGTTCATTTAAGCGGGCATTTAGGTTTTCAAACCCGGCTCCTAGCCAGGGTGTCCTCTTACAGCAGGTTTCTTCTCCGGATTTCTCTTGACCACAGCAGGGTGAGGTTTCTCTGCTTTGATGTCAGCAGCCCTGCCCTTGTGACCTAGACTTGCTAGGATCTTGGATTGGCTCTTTCAAAATCCCTGCCTGGGCCAACAAACCACACCCTGGCATATCATTCAGCCATAAAAAGGAATGAAGCACTGATACATTGTTATAGCATGGATGAATCTGGAAAAGATAATGCTATGCTCAGTGAAAGAAACCAGACCTAAAAGCCTACAGTTTGGAGGATTCCATCTCTATAAAATTTCCTATAAAATAGGTAAATCCATAGAGACAAGTGGCAGATTCGTAGTTGCCAGAGAGACTTGGGGGTAGGGGATGGTATTTACTCTTCTCTTCCCGGGAGCCGTGGCTTGGTGGGCGGGGCGCGTGCAGCAGGCAGAGGGCTGGCGGTGCAGGTGGAGTTGCCGAACAGAAGCCTGGCTTGGCTGCCAGCACTCCCCTCTGGGAGTCTGGGCTTGCGCCCAGGGAAGAGGGCACCTCAGGAGAAGTGGGAAGGACCAGTGTACTTGGAACTGATATAGATCAAGTGGGCTTGAAGCTTACTAAAGAGGTTGAGGGAGAAAGCGCCCGGCTGCCACGGAGCTGGTTAGACGCAGGGTACCGGGCAGGAGGAGGGGAGGGCAGCGGCGGGACCCAGGTGCAGAGGAGTTCACAGGAAATAGTAACTGCTGATTGTCATAGTCGGGACAGTAATTCAAATGCATGGGTGCTTACCGTGCATCATGCGCTAAGCATTCTTATTATTCTTATTGTTGTTATTATAACTAATATTTAGCAGGTGCTTATGCAGGTCTTATGCTATATACTTTATAATAGTAGTACTTTAAAAATGAACCATGAGAACTAACATTTACTGACCAAACAGGCTAAGCCCCTACGATAAGCACTATTCATAATGATGGTAATCCTGACAATAGCCAGCATTTTTTAGTGCATGGCATAAGGGGAATGGCCATTCTACATTACTGAATGTTTATATCAGCTCAGACTGACAGGGCCGGCTGTCCCAGGGTCTGGGTTATAAGCCTTTATCATGTATTTGCTCATTTAAGTCTGGTGACGTGGGCCTCGTGTTATTCCTGTTTTCAGATGGGGAAATTGGGGTTTAGGGAGCTTAGATGTCTTGCCCGGCCGTCCAACACTGTCTCCTCGCCCTGGCCTGGGTGTGCTCATATGACCAAGTCGGGCTCCTCCGGGTCTCTCTGGGATTCCTCTACTGAAGCTGGTGGGGAACGCTGCCTCTCTGTGCCCATGGA